CACCAATACTCATCTTTTGCCATGAAGAACCTCAATAAAACCCCACCTCCCACCCCTCCCAATGCTTGTGAGGCAGATGAATTTCAGTTAACTATCTACTTTGACTAGATTCATTGTTTCGATAAAAGATGCACCATTATTATTTAGAGTTTACCCCCCCCCCCAATCAGACATGCTGAAAAAGCGTTGTGGAATGATTTGCTTTCTATAGCTGGGTTCAAGAATTAAATGTCGTGGCCATGCGGTTTTGGATTTCTGCTATTTTACTTATTAACCCTGGAACTATTTCTACTAAAAGTCAGATAATTAAGAGATTGGTTTCTGTGATCTGGAGTCGTGGCCGTGCCAGAGAGCCGCTCGTGGTGGGCAACTGGTGACCTCGGTAGGGCGTGAAGGACATGCTGGAAAGCCCCACTTCCCATGAGGTTTTCGTCATCCCCACATCCCCGGCTCATACCTGCTGCCCACAAGGCTCCCATGCTGCCACCATCTTTCTTTCCAGAGAGGAGAGGGCAGAAAGGGAGCAACACCGTTTCCCCTCCTGGCAGGCATGATGGCGTGGATTAATGCATAGTCCGTTCACTCTTCTGCTCCAAGCTGCTGGTTTCTGCATTAAGTCCTTGTGCTTCTGGGGCCGGGGTCGTTCCGGAAAGCCGCTCGTGGGGGGAAACTGGTGAGAAATTTATTCTTGAGGATATTTTTTTACATTACTATTTTAATTTCCTATCTTAGATAGGTATATTTAAATTTCCTCTTACTCTTGATTGAAATTTGAAAAGTTCTTTTGAAATTCATCCATTTGTCTAGGTTCTCCAGTTCGATGGCATAGAGTCAATCATAATGTCCTCTTATGATCATTTGGAATTTGGAATATCTATTTTAATTTCTCTCCTTTCATGCCTGATCCATTTTATTTTGTTTTCTCTTTAGTGTGAATCTAGCTACAAGTCTCTCTCTCTCTCTCTCTCTCTCTCTCTATATATATATATATATATATATATATATATATATATATACATGGAGCGATAGCATAGTGGGTAGGTAGTTTGCTTTGCACGCGGACAATGTGGCCCACCCAAGTTCAATTCCTCCACTCCTCTTGGAGAACCCGGCAAGCTACTGAGAGTATCTCACCCACACAGCAAAGCTTGGCAATCTACCCTTGACGTATTAGATATGCCAAACACAGTAACAATTGTCACAATGGAGACTTTATTGGGTCCGCTCGAGAAAATAGATGAAAAATGGGAGGACAGGGAGAGATATGTAATATTTATATATGTATATATATAGAGAGAGAAAGAGAGACATTGCTTAATTTATAAGAGAAAAACTAAAAATAGTATATATACATGCATATTTACACACATATTACACACATATGTATATATATATACATATATATATATCTCACTGTATAACTGTCATCCCATTATTCATCGATTTACTGGATCAGGTACTAGTAGCATCTCTATTCCTATGAGCCCTGAGATTTAAGCAGCCTCTTCTTACTTGTCTTTTCCCAACAACTGAAGGCTCTTTCAGGGTCAGGGGAATGAGACCTGTTGTCATTACCATTTTTGGCATATTGAATACGAAACAGGAAGCTTGCCAGGCACTGCCCATGAGGGTGGGAAACATTTGGTGGCTTGCCTTGCTCTCTGAGAGGCATATATCTATACATTTCTCTCTATGATTTGTTGTATACTGTCTGAACCTATCAAATATGGTGTGGTAATTATGGAAAATGGGTAGGTCCAGAAATCTGCCTGGAGCATGGCGGCTGTTGGGTAGTGGAGGTTAGCTGTGGGAGCTGGATCTCTTGGGGCGGGGAGGGCTCTCACCTGCCCACATCTTGGGCGCCCCATTTGGAAACAGCATGGCGCAGAGTAGAGTAGCATTGTTATGGGGGCCTCATTTTATACTCCCGTCTGAGAGTAGCAGCCGTGAGCTCTGGAGGGTGACTGATGAGATTATCTGGTGCTGGCAGGGTGTGACTTATGGTTGTAATCCCTGGGTCACCAGAGACTGGGGGAAGCAATAGAGGGTCTCTGCTCCCAGGCCCCGTTGAGTCTGGAGTCAAAGATCACAAAGTTCCGCATTATCTGGGTTCCAAGAGACTTCATTCGCGTGTGAAGTTCTGCCCAAGTGTTCGGAAAGCAGCCTGGAGCGTGGTGGAAGTTGGGTAATGGAAGTCGGCTGTCAGGGTTGGTTCACTTGGGCCGTGGAGAGTTCTCACCCATCCCGCTCTTGGCAGACCCGAGAGAAAACAGCCTGGTGCGGATATATACATATGTTCTGGGACTTCCCATAACTCCCAATTTGACTCACCCACTGGTCCTGCTCTAATAATTCCCAACTAAATCTGCAAAGAGTTGCAAGTCAGCAGTTAAAATTTATGGAAACACAATTCTCTGCAGCTCTATGAGAACCTTGGGAGGTAGGGGACATAGTAACTGCCTAACTAAAGTCCCATAGCTACACACACAATTCACCACTGCACCCCCGTGCAGGGTACAACTCCATTACTTCAGTAATAATCTCTACAGAGACTCCAGACTGTGAATAATTTCAAATATCCCAGTGCCCAGCCTGAGAACTCTTGTGTCTTCTTGGAGTAGGGAGGGAAACCTCCCTTCTCTGCTCCATATTTCCTGAAGCCCTGGAAGGGACACCCACTTCCCACAGCTGCTGCCATGTCAACTAATTGGCTCAGACCATAGATTCTGAAATCTCTGACCACAGAGCAGCATAGGCCATGTGATACCTCCTAATTCCTCTATAATAAAATTCCAGTAGGAGCACACCAAATTAGATGGAAAAGTAGCACAGAAGTCAACTCAACTAACAGAAACAATAACACATTTGATTCGACTGGCCAAAAAAGGCTTAGTAAATTCTTAGACAAGAACTTAACAACCCCCTGATAGATAACAATAATCACTAGTTGATTAATTTTAGACTTAATGATTTTAATAATGGAGCTTGGTTATCTAATCAATTTCAACTTTAGAATTATATTAACAGTTGTGACTTTTTCTGACATTAAAATAAAAAATGCATTTTAAAAAACGAATATGCTCTGGTATCATATTCTCTTTGTTTTATTTTCTAACTACTTTTGTGACTCAATTTTATTCACCAGTTGAGAATGGTAAATATACTCCTATATTTCCTAGTTATTCAGAGCAGTTTGACTTCAACTTTAAACTATTATATGCATGTTACATTAGTCATTGAAAGGCATAATGAACACAGTTTTCCTAGCGAAGTGTTAAAGTAGCACTGTAGCACTGTCCTCTTGTTTTTCATCGATTTGCTCTAACAGGCACCAGTGATGTCTCACAACAGATAGTGAGACTTGTAACTTTTTTGGCATATTGAATATATCACAGGTAGTTTGCCAGGCTTTCCTGTGCTGGCGAGATACTCTCAGTAGCTTGCTGGGCTCAGTGAGAGGGACGGAGGAATTGATCACTTCACTTAATCACTTAACTTCCCGTTAGTCGTCGATTTGCTCGAGCGGGCGCCAGTAACGTCTCCATTTGTCCCTGTCGCGTGCTAGTGTAGCCCAATGGCATCTCTTCGCTCCGGGAACATGGAGGGCCTCAAACCGATCGTTCATGATCTTGACAAAGAAGTCTGACCATCTGGTAGGTGGGCGGCCACGCGGTCTCTTGACATCCCGTGGAATCCAATCAGTAACAGCTCTAGTCCAATGGTCGTCTTTAAATCTCATTACGTGACCAGCCCATCTGATTTTCGACACCTTGGCATATGAGACAGCGTCCCTGATCCTTGATCGTCGACGGATGTCAGAACTCCGGATTCGTTCTCTCATTTGAGTGAAACGTGTTATTCCAAGCATAGCTCTTTCTATTCTTCTTTGGGAGACCTGAATGGCGTTCTCATCTTGTTTGCGTAGGGCCCAGGTCTCTGAGGCATATGTTAATGCATGAAGAACAGTGGAATCAAAGAGATGTGCCCGGAGCCGGAGGTTCTTCGTCCTCTTAGCTATTTCTTCGACGTTCTTGAAGGCGTTCCAAGCCGCTCTCTTCCTCCTGCGCAGCTCGGGTGCCAGGTCATTTCTCATGTTGACCTCTCGACCTAGGTACACATAGCTGTTGCATTCAGAGATGGTCGTTCCATTGAGAGCGAATGGGGCGTCAGGAACAAGGCTGTTTCTCATAAACATTGTCTTCGTAAGATTCAGCTGTAGTCCTACCTTTCCACACTCACGGTCAAAGTCGGCCAGCATTTGTGCCGCTTGGCTGATGTTTGGTGTTATTAAAACAATGTCATCAGCAAAGCGGAGGTGGTGTAGTTGCCGACCATCTATCTTCACTCCCATTCCTTCCCATTCCAGTCATCGCATGATGTTCTCGAGGGTGGCACTGAAGAGTTTCGGTGAAATGGTATCACCCTGCCGCACCCCTCTCTTGACATCAACGATCACTTCTTTGTAGAATGGTGAGATCCTGGTAGTCAATCTGCAATACAGCTCACGGAGGATCCTGATGTATTGGGCTTGAATGCTCTGATTGGCTAGGGCTTCAATGACCGCTTCCGTCTCAACAGAATCAAAGGCCTTCTTTAAATCAATGAACGTTAAGCAGTGCGGCATCTTGAACTCCCGAGAAACCTCAATGAGCTTGGTTACCGTGTGGATATGGTCGATGGTGCTGAATCCTTTGCGGAACCCTGCTTGCTCGCATGGTTGTCCTTCATCTAGGGACGGAGGGACGGAGGAATTGAACCCAGGTCAATTACATGTTTGATTCATCTTTGGAATTGGGTGCAAACTTTGTGATCTAATGAACTATCAAAGAGATACTACATTTTTTGACACGGAATTTATATCAAATAATTAAAACCTAAATATAAGGGTACAATGATTTTAATCTTTATTGATATAAACATAATAGTAAACAAGGGAAAAAACGCATACTACTGAAAATTCAAGACACTTCCAAATCCTGTTGCAAGTTTCCCACTACTCCTTTTTGTACATGAAAACAATACATAGCATCTCCCAAGTGCTTTTAATTTTTAAAGTTTCACTATGCATCAGACAGGCAGCATATTTATGAAGTGACTGTTCATTTTTATTAATCGACTTTTATGACTAATTTTTTATGGGAAGCACTATTGAAAATTTATCTAAAATGTGTCCTTTGATAGATTCTTACATGATTCTTTCAAACAGATTCTACTCCTCATTTATATCCCAGATGAACTTCAATGGTATGTCTTTCATCTTCTTTTGGAATATAATGTCAAATCTTTCACTTTGCGCCACAGTGAAATGGTTTTTCCAATCACCAATGGTACCTAATGTGATAGTTACATGTTAGATCTTAGTTGAGAAATTAGATCTTTCAAGGCAAAAAATTCCACAACACTGTTTACTCTCCTTTTTAAGAAAAGATAATAATTATTCATTGTCAATTAGGCTTAAGAATTCACTTTTCCTTATGTAAGTATGTCAAATTATTTCTCTTTTAAATTTCATCAACTACCATAATTCAATTATAACCTTACTTTAGAGAAAAATAAATATGAATTGAATAACATTTAAAGATATATTTTAATAAATTCCAGGCAATATACTTCTCATCAAGCTATAGTTGATACATCACATAATTGCAAAACACACATACAATTGAGTATGTCTTAAATTTTTATAAATAAATCAGTATTTTCTAAACTGTGTAAACAGAACAGAGCTATTTAAGCAACAATGTCATATTAAAAAATGATTCCCAGAACTTCCATTGCTGTAATTTTACTGGAAAATGGAAATTATAGCAGATTATGTTAATGAAATTCATAGTCGATTTGTTACAATATTTGCTGCTTCCAAAACTCATTCAATTGGATTAATGTCATCACTTTTTTCAACATAAAAATTGTTGACAAAGAAATATATTAATCCAAATTTCCTCTCCTGTACAAATCTTATACCTCTGTGTATTTTTTATGTTTATGCTGTATTTGAGGTAACATATCTATTATAGTATGAATGTTTGTGGTATGCAATGTACAAGCCCTATCAAAATGTAAAAGACTCTTTTCCTCTCTCTGTATGTCCCTTAAATATGTTTTAAATAAGAGATATTTAAAATAAAATTCTAAATTAAATTTTAAAATAAAACTGAAGTATAACTTAAAAGTACTATGAAACTAGCAAAGAGAAATAAAGAAAATTTGAGAGAAATACTCTTATATTCAAATATATTTAGGAAAGACATCCTGGAATATTTTAATATATAAGTGCTTATAAAAGAAAAATAACTGAAGACTAAACTTTAATATTAAGTTTAGTTATTGATTTTCTTTTTTCAAAAAAGTGTTTAGATTAATAGGATATTTTTTAGATATTTTCAGGTGAGATCTTGATTTTACTTAAAAGCCCAATTTGTTATGTTTTGAGGGTTATTGAGGAATTATGGGCAGGAGCAATAGCACAGCGGCTAGGGCATTTGCCTTACAGGCAGCCAACACGGCCAACCCAAGTTCAATTCCTCCGCCCCTCTCAGAGAGCCCAGCAAGCAACCGAGAGTATCTCACCCCCACGGCAAAGCCTGGCAAGCTACCCGTGATGTATTTGATATGCCAAACGCAGTAACAAGTCTCACAATGTTACTGGGCCCGCTTGAGCAAATCGATGAGCAACTGGAGCACAGTGACAGTGACAGTGACAGTGAGGAATTATAATATATTTAGCCTAATAACTAGAATTCAAGGAAACGCCAAAACCTAAACCACTGACTGTTACCTTTGCGCAGAAAATGCCCTTCACTTTTTGTTCCAACTTCGTTTTTGAGTATATCATTGTAATTTGCTCGTGAATCAGATTTCATATTCTTAAATGTAGCTTGTCTCACAACAGCATCCACATCATCTTCACTGAGTTCTTTCCCAAGAAAGTTGCAGAGTGTTTGCACAGCACTTTTGAGATCCTGAAAGAGTTTTGAGTTTCAAAGCCTAGTCAGTTTATAAGGAATGCATAAGATACAGATTAGTATCTCTCTCACATTTTAGAAAACAGAATCTAATTGTTCTTACTCTAAGCCTGAAGTTTAAAAAGGATCTAGTGCTTCCCAGTTTCATCTAGAAAAGCAGGTTGTTAGCTTTGTTAGACCTTCCAGTTCTTTAATTTTATGAAAACAGCTTATTTTTATTCATTGATTCATTGATTTAACCAATACTTTTAGAATCTTATGTTTGAGCTGGAGCTCAACCTAATGAGAAAAGTAAATATATGCTACCTGTATTTACTGAGTTTACATTTAATATGAAAAAAGCTAAAATAATTATAGGTCTTTCTTGAATTACAAAAGGATGATGTTTCAGTGGGCTTGAGCGATAGCACAGAAGGTAGGGCACTTGCCTCGAAAGCGGCCAACATGGCCAACCCTTGTTCGATTCCTCCACCTCTCTTAGAGAGTCCAGCAAGCTACCAAGAGTATCTTGCCTGCACGGCCAAGCCTGGCAAGCTACCTGTGACGTATTCAATATGCCAAACACAGTAACAACAATTCTCATGATGAAATCGTTACTGGGCCCTCTCGAGCAAATCGATGAACAACGGGAGGACAGAGACAGTGACAGAGATGTTCCAACAAATCCATACAAATTGAAAATATCTCAAGTGAACAATAATTTTATACACTAGAGTATATTTTAATATTATCTACTTGAACACAAACATACGCAAATTGTTTGTTTTAGTTTACAATTAAAAAAAGATCAAATGCCGTTTCTTTTTTAATAAAATATTGAATATATTATAATTTATTAACAATTACACTGAAATATATATTTTTAAAAATATTATTCCCCAACTACAAAGATTATTTCTACTAAATTGATATTGTTGTGGTACCCCTGTAAAGTTTAAAAGTCATCATACTGTCCAGAGAAAAGGTACAGTGATAAGGCAATGGGCCAACCAGTATTCAGCTCACAGCACTACAAATGGTCCTTATAGCATTGGCAAAAATTTTCCCTCAGCACAGAGTCAGGAATAATCCATGCACTCAGACAGTAATGGCACAACAATTGAAAGGAAAAACGGAAGAATGTTAGCTACCATCTTTAATAATAGTATGTATCCAGAAAGAAAAGCTCAAAACGTTTAAGAAAGATTTAACATAAGTCTTGCAGTAACACTTTCAAAAAACTGAAGATGAAATAATTCCAAAATCCTTATATTTGGTAGCTTTAGCTTGATACCCAATTTAGAGAATGAATGTTAAGGGCTGGTAGGAAACTAAAGGTTCTTACTTTTGTGTCAGAATACCTCACACAAGTCCTTCAACAAAAGCAGAAACTAGATTCACTCCTGAATTCCAGTTGAAATAACTTTTACAGTAATGGAGATAGAACAAACAACACAGGAAGAAACAGCAATTTGTTACTGACGGAACATAAAAAATAATTGTGAGTCACAAGAACCAAATTCTGAAGGACGTTGACAGTGGTAGTTGGATTAGTGTTGAAATACTGAATGCTTGTAACAAATCCTCATGAATAACTTTGTAAACCATGTTGTTGAAGTAAACTGGGGAGAGGAATTACTGAAAAATTGCAAAGAAATAGCAAATGGCCAAAAGCAAAAAACAACACAACCACATTGGAAAAAGGCAACATAGCCCTTCATATCAATAATTTCTCTGAGTCAATGGACTGAAATCCCCTCAATTAAAAGGCATAGAGTGGCGGAATGGATCAGGAAGTAAGACCCAAACTCTGCTGCTTGAAGGAAATTCACTTGAATTTCCAAGTTAAACACAGACTCAGAGTGAAAAGATGGAAACAACACACAAGCTAAGGGTGAATGTTGGGGGTGGTGGAAAGGAAGGCTGGGACAGCTCTACTCAGATCAAATAGCTTATCTTGCTATATAATAAGAGATAAGAATGATCAGTTTACGGTGGTAAGCAACCAGTTGAGAACTCTCTGACCTGATACCCAACATATATGCATTGAAAGATGGGGCAGCAAAGTTTACAAAGATACTATTCATGGATGAAATAAAAACATCAATAGAGACAAAGTCATAGTTGAAGACTTCAACACTCCACTTTCACCATTGGATAAATCAACCAGATGGCAAATCAGTAAGTATAAAGTGCCCGAAATGAGCATCTGGAAGAGCTGGGATTTATTGATAGCTACAGGATTGTATCCCCTCAAAAAGCTGAATACAGTCTTTTGTAGTGTCCATGGAGCATTGTTCAGGATAGATCACATACAGGACATAAAATAAAATAGAGAAAGTCACAAAAATAGAAATTTTATCAAGCATCTCAGATAACATTATGAAGGTTGAAATTAAACAGCAAAGGAGAAGATAGGGGAAAGCCCCAATACTTGAAAACTGAACAGAATGGTGCTAAATAGCAACTGAGTCATTGAGGAAATCAAGAAGAAATTAAAAGCTTGCTTGAAACTATATAGAATTAAGATGCAAACTACCAGAATTTATGAAACACAGCAAAGGTAGTATTTAAAAGGAAATTTATAGAAATGCAAGCCTATTTATTTTAAAAGAAAAAAAAGACAAATATCAGTGTCCTAAACACTCATCTTAAACACCTAGGAAAATATGAGTCCCAAAATTAGCCAAAGAATGGAGATAATAAAAATGAGAGACAAAATAAGTTAATATAGAAATTAAGAAAACAATACATAGGTACAACGAAGCAAAGATCTTGTTCTTTGAAAGAATAAAGAAGACGTACAAGCCCAACCCTTAGCCTGTCATAAGGGTGGGTGGGAAGAATAAATAGGAAAATGGATAAATTGGATCACAGATGAAAGGGGAGAAATTACAATAGACTTCTCAGCAATACAAAAGATCATAAAGAGTTCAGTTCTTATGGAAAACATTATGGAGTTTCCTCAAGAATTTAAGACTAGAGCTCTCATAAGACTCAGAAATCCCACTGTTTCTATTACCAGAAGAAGTTAAAATAAAGATATGGAGACACCAGTACTCATTGTGGTACTTAGCAAAATAGCTCTCCAAGACCTGGAAATTTAATAGTGGATAATAAATTTGTGGTATACATGTACATGGAGTACTACTTAGCCGCAAGGAGAGATGAAACCATGTGATTTTCTGCAACATAGATGAAACTGCAGGTTCTTATATTAAGTGAAATAAATCAGAAAGAAAAAGGTCAGGCCTGGATGTTCTCACACAAGTCATAGAATAATATGCCTACCAACTGATACACAACAAAGCCCAGAGAAGCACTAGTTCTAGATCATTTGTTACCAAAACCAAAATAGTTAAGGAAAGAAACATGAAGAAGCGGAAACAAGAAGAGGAAGTCTGGAGGGACAAAGATCTGGGACCTTGAGTCCGTCTATGGTATAGAAACAAAGTGTCTATATATACTTATATATACATATATATACACACATACATATGTGTATGGGCTGGAGCGATAGCACAGTGGGTAGGGCGTCTGCCTTGCACCCAGCCGGGCCAGCCGACCCGGGTTCGATTCCTCCGCCCCTCTCGGAGAGCCCGGCAAGCTACCGAGAGTATTCGATATGCCAGACACAGTAACAACAAAGTCTCCAATGGAGACGTTACTGGGCCCGCTCGAGCAAATCGATGATCAACGGGAGGGCCTTTACCTTTTTACCTTTTTACCTTTTACATATGTGTATATATACGTGTATGTATATATAGTTCACTGTACTTTACTGCTCATTATTGTAGCAAGGGACCCAAACTACAGCAAAGAATCTTAGATTTGCTGCTGTCAACGTGTGAGACTTCAAGGGAGTTGTAAACTGGAGTAAGTGCTATTGGGATGGGGAAACAGGGTAGTATAGTGGAGGTGGGAACATTGTGTGCCTAAAACTCATGTAAATAACTATGTAAATCACAGAGTCTAAATAAAAGAAAAATAGGAATGATAATTTTTTAAAATAAACCAAGATTTAATTCAGAGTACCCATATTCTCGTCTGGCTAATCAGTCATATTTTAGTGACTATTTGTCCTTGGGCTCCAGAGTGCCCTCACTCTTATTTAAGTTTATTAAACTGCTGCCCTAGAAATGTGAGCCAGCCATTTTGCTCTTACTGCCTACATAAAAATTAATCACAAAATATATTTACTTATTGAGAAGAAAACCCTTACGAAGATCAATAATTGAGGGCTGAGCATGAAATTAGTACATAAGAAATCTATTAGATATGATTATAACTGATTAAACGTAGGTTATTGATACAAAGATAAGTTTCAAAGAAATGTATACTAATGATACTTCTCTTACCTTTTTCATCTTCTCATATGACAAAAACAGAATATTAAATTTATGTCTGTGTTCATACCAGTCTTTGATGTGATCAAACCAAATGCTTCCTACCACTGTGAGGAAAATGAATAAATATCAAGGTAAGTGTGTTGCTTTATTTTTGTATTTTTTTTTTAGCTGAAGGTTTTCTAAAGAAAGTTCCCATCTCTTGACAACTGTGTTTCCTTGTAAAATGAAGTCTGGGGAAAGAATAATATGACTTAAGTAAAACCTACTTTTGTTAGTCACTCTCTCTATGAAAAACAAGTGAAAAATAGTAAGCCCAAAAAACAGACATTTTCTTTAGGTTAGGCAGGATCCTTTTACTACTTCTTCCACATTCAAACACCTCATTTTTGCCTTTTAAATCTGTGATAAACAACTTCAGCTATCCATAATAAAACAGAACCTGATTATAATCTTCTAAATGAGTGGCAACCCAGTTCTACATTCCACAAGCCTTGTGCACCATTCTGCTCTATGTAGTAGATGAACATACTCACTAGCATATGATTCTTACACTGGCCAATGACAGACTGCAAAAGGCACAATAATTCTATACATACCTATGCACAAATATATCCTTCTAGCTCTGTCTCTAACTAGTTAGGATCGCAAGTTCACGGGAAGTTCTCTTATGATCTAGTCAAAATACTATTTCAGCAGCACGTGACTTTGCAATACGTGGTTGAAAATCTCTGTCATAAGGAGATGATAAAAATCATGGAGTGGCAGGTTAAATTACCCTAATGTAGTAACATAAGATCCCTCCTACTATCATTTGCTTTTCTCCATCTTCCAAAATATTTTCCTTAAATTTACAAATTTGGCTAACACTAAATTAATTCAGTTACCTTTCCCTTCTAGAAAATTATGCATGAAAAGGTCCAAATTTTCACATCCTTTTAATACTGCCACAAAATTTGAAAAATGAAAATATGAGGTAATAACATCCTTGGGGTTTCTGTAGATATATACAATCTGTAAGAGAAGAATGAAATAATTTTAGTATGTCCTGACTTATGCCCAGTTTCTTAAACTCCGATATAACATATCATGATATGAATGCATAATTATTTATTTCATTTAATCATGGTAATTTATATCATCAATAGTTAATACTATTTTAAAGACAAAATCAAATAGACATTCACATATCAATTTGTATGTACAACAACAAATTTCAAAGAGAAATTATTTATATGATCTTTATTAGATAGCAAATTAGTCCCATAGCAAATTTTCCCACCATGAAAATTAAGTGAGATTTAATATGCAAAGTTACATTGCAAAATAGTGACTAAAGCAAAAACTAATTAAAAGGTACAAAAAGGGTTGAAGAGGTAATATAGATGGTATAGTGCTTAGTGTGCGTGCCTTTCATATGTCCAACCTGGGTTCAATCTCTGTTACCCAATATGTCTCCTGATCCCCCCTCAGTAGTGATCCCTGAGCGCAGGGACAGGAGTAAGCCTTGAGCACCACCAGCTGTGGCCCATAAAGCAAAGAAACAAAAACAGGATGGTTTAAAATACTAATAAAATACATAAAATACTATCAAAAATTGCAAATGGATTAAGGATTTAAGTATATAAGTAAAGGTAAAGGTAAAGGCCCTCCCGTTGATCGTCGATTTGCTCGAGCGGGCCCAGTAACGTCTCCATTGGAGACTTTGTTATTACTGTGTTTGGCATATCGAATACTCTCGGTAGCTTGCCGGGCTCTCTGAGAGGGGTGGAGGAATCGAACTCGGGTCGGCCATGTTGGCTGCTTTGTAAGGCGAACGCCCTACCGCTGTGCTATCGCTCCAGCCCATGAGTATATAGCACAGTGGGTAAGGCGTTCGCCTTACAAGCGGCCAACATGACCGACCCGAGTTCGATTCCTCCGCCCCTCTCGGAGAGCCCGGCAAGCTACCGAGAATATTCGATATGCCAGACACAGTAACAACAAAGTCTCCAATGGAGACGTTACTGGGCCCGCTCGAGCAAATCGACGATCAACGGGAGGGCCTTTACTTTAAGTATATAAGTAAAACTGATATTAAAGTTATTTTGCTCTTTTGGTGAAGTGTTTTGTAATGAAGAAAAAATTGTACTTAAAAACAAATTATTCTATTTGACTACATTAAGTTTAAATAGATGGTGCTAGTGAAAAGAAGCTTAAAGTGAGACAAATCAACATATACAATTAGTAACAGATTGGTCTCCAGGATATGCACATAAAACACATCAATAATTCAAATATATAATATATTGGATAAAAATGCACAAAAATACTATTTAATAAGAAATAATTGCAATCAACAAATGTACAAAAATACTCCTAATCTCATTAATCATTAGAGAAATACAAACTAAATCATATAATTATAGTTAGTTGAAAATTAAAATATAAGAAGAGGAAATTTAATATCATTGGAAAAATGACTGGCAAAAAATTTATATAACTGTTGTTTCATGTAAAACTGGTACAAATTCTTGTTTTAAAAATATGCTTACTTTTGTACAACACAGAAAGTACCATGCTAAGGGAAATGAATCAGAAAGAGAGGGACAGACATAGAAAGATTGCATTCATCTGAGGGATATAAAGTAACAAAATATGAGATTAATACCCAAGAATATTGGGTATTAATAATTAATGAATGAGATCAACACCAGGAGGATTACTCCATAGCTTAGAGGCCAGCCGGGCATTCTAGGGGAAAGGGCAGCTCAGATAGAGAAGGGAGCACCAAATAAAGGGTGTTTGGAGGATCCTCCCAAGAGGGGAGATGCATGTCGAAAGTAGACTATGAACTGAACATGTTTGCCCCTCAATGCCTCTTTTGCAGACCACAACACCCAAAAGGAGAGAGAGAACACAAGGGTTAGCCCTGCCACAGAGGCAAGAGGTATGGGGGGGGTGGGGATGGGAGGGATATTATCCATGGAGGTGGAAAATGGGCACTGGTGGAGGGATGAGTATTTGATCGTTGTATAATCGAAACCCAAGCACAAAAAATTGTAAATCTACAACTGTAAAAAAAAAAATACTACTGTTATCTCTTTGAAATTTCAAAAAAAAAATGCTTACTTTGTGATGTTGCAATTTTATTCTTGGATCATACATTAAATGGGTATGTAAGTATAATTATAAAGCATTGTCTTATGAATAAATTAACCTAATTAAAATTTTAATACAGTACTATAACAAATTAATGAGAAAAATTACAAAATTTTTTAGCGGTGTTTTAAAACAAGTATTACATGCAGTTTGGAGTTAATCCATAAGCAGAAAGTGATTAAATTATTAGTGAGTCTTATTGCATTCAAGAATAAAGTGGGTGAAATGTTGGTTTTCTTAATAGTTTCCAAAAAATGTCATTTCAAATTAGGGTTTTTCTGAATAAACAGCAAAAACAAAAACAAAAGTAAGCTTCAACTAAAAAAAAGAGTAGAGAAATTATCAGCATATATGTTACTAAAGTCAGTTGCAAACAAAGAAAAACTAAGAAAAAATGGCAAAAATGTTAAAGGATAAATGGAGAATATTTTTATAAACACTTTTTTTTTTTCTATAAGTAACAACTAGAGAAATAGAAATATTGGAAAATCAAAGGGAGAGACTGTGGAAACTTATTATGTAACAAGGTAGATTTCAAAAACAGTAGCAAAAACTACCAAAATTATATACTGATGCTCTTGCAAAATAGCATGCATACTTTAAATGAAATACAGCATTACACAAATCATAGTTTTTTGTAAAAAAGTGGAGTGGAAGGATAACACAAGTGGGTAGGGCATTTGCCTTGCACACGGCCCACGCAGCTCACCCAAGTTCGATTCCTTCGCCCCTCTCAGAGAGCCCGGCAAGATACTGAGAGTATCTCGCCTGCACAGAAAACCCTGGCAAGCTACCCATGACATATTCGATATGCCAAACACAGTAACAACAAGTCTCGCAATGGAGATGTTACTGGGCTTGCTCAAGCAAATCGATGAACAATAGGAGGACAGTGCTATGTAACAAGCAAAACGATGTATATAATGAACATGTATAGAGAAAGCTGGAGAAATTGTATAACTACTATGATGGGGAAAGTATTTTCCAGCAAGACACAAAAGCTAAAAGGTATGAAAATAAGATTAATAGACTGGACTTCCAAACAACACAATAAAGACAGTTTAGAAGTAAGAAATCTGCATAATCTCTAAACAAAACACATACTGGCAAAATAGATGCATTATTGAAATGCTTCAAAAACCATGAATTGAAAGACAAACTAAAAAAAATGGCACAATAGTGAAAACAATATTTAAAAGATTAGAACTCTATAAGAATTGCATTCTAATTTATTAAAACTAAGAGATCCAGAAATTATCGCTAATGCCAATCATTGGAGAATTGTCACTGTCACTGTCCTCCCGTTGTTCATCGATTTGCTCGAGCAAGCCCAGTGACGTCTCCATTGGAGACTTTGTTGTTACTGTGTTTGGCATATCGAATATGTCACAGGGAGCTTGCCAGGCTTTGCCGTGAGAGCAAGATACTCTCGGTAGCTTGCCGGGCTCTCCAAGAGGGGTGGAGGATTAGAACTCGGGTCGGCCATGTTGGCTGCTTGCAAGGCAAACGCCCTACCTGCTGTGCTATTGCTCCAGCCCATCATTGGAGAACATGTGAAGAAACAAATTATCTTAAATGCTGTTTTTAAGCATAAATTGTTAGATTATGAAAACAGTAATAATACCTAAGAACATAAAGGTAAAGGTAAAGGTAAAGGCCCTCCCGTTGATCGTCGATTTGCTCGAGCGGGCCCAGTAACGTCTCCATTGGAGACTTTGTTGTTACTGTGTCTGGCATATCGAATACTCTCGGTAGCTTGCCGGGCTCTCCGAACCTAATCCTAAAAAATTTCTTTGGAAACTTTAAATGGAAAAGTCCTCTTTTGGGCTAATATTTCATTGGAAATAAATGTAGAAATATTGCTGTTACTACTTTTGCACATGCATTGTCTAACAATATTCCTTAAATATTTTTTCACCATATGAAGTCCTACTAAAACATTTAAAATATGATTTTATGGGATTACATAAAAGAAAATTTGCTATGTGTTTTAAGATTAAAAAGCAAAAATATCTGCATGATGACATAATTTAATTGCTTAAATTTCACATTAATTTTATATATATTTGGGCTGGAGCCATAGCACAGCAGATAGGGCGTCTGCCTTGCACGCAGCCAACATGGCCGACCCGAGTTCGATTCCTCCGCCCCTCTCGGAGAGCCCGGCAAGCTACTGAGAGTATTTGATATGCCAAACACGGTAACAACAAAGTCTCCAAAGGAGATGTTACTGGGCCCGCTCGAGCAAATCGACGATCAACGGGAGGGCCTTTACCTTTACCTTTATATTTGGGGTCTCCCAAGTGATTCTACAGAGGCCAGAGGGTCTATTCCAGATATTATTAATCCATCAGGCCACCAGTTTAATGCAGGGGTCTGAGCACATAGCATTACTCCAGAATCAGGGGGGTGCAGTGATCACTGTGCAGTGTTCCTTGGGGAATCATGTGGCACGGGGATTAAGGCAAGCACCTAACCCTTGTACCATCTGCTAGTTCCCAATATGGAAAACAATACGATAGGCATGTAATAATAATTTTTAAAGGATTTGGATGAGTGGAGAGAGAGAAAGAGACTTGCAGGTAATTTTGTTTGTGCTAAAAGCTATTTCCAAGACATACTTTAGCTTTTTTGTTCTTGAGACCATTTGGTACTAAATAATACGGCAGATGAGAACAGAAAATGCGAGGGGATGGTCTCTTGGTGAAGTCCACCTTGCGTATGTTGTATTCCAGGAAGGGAGCTCGGTCAAGTGTTTCCATATTTTCAGTTTGTTTACGATGTGTCTCAAAATAAATCAAACTTAATATCTGCTGAGTCCAGATGGTACCTGTGAAAATAAGAAATCTTTTTCAACTCTAAGGCCATTTTACCTCATTTTAATTTTTATTTATTATTTAATAATTTATATTATTATATATGATAAGTAATAATTATTTAATAACATAATGAATCATAATAATAAACAAAATTATTAAATTAAATAAAATTTAACAATGTGATGCATAATTTATATAATTAATATTTAATAATCTATATTATTTTATATAATAATTTTATTTATTTATTTAATTATTTTTTGGTGAAGCAAAGAGGCTTTTATTGAAACTTATTAAGAAAAGATGTGAGGTGAGAGAAAAGCGAAGTACATGTTTGAGAACACGGGCATCTCCAGAATGGAAATAAGCAAGTGAAGGAACATAGAGAAAAGCAAGTGAAATACATGTTTAAGGGAGAATACAGACTTGAAGAACAAGGTTGGCCTTTTGGAAAACTGTATGGACAATTCTCAAAAAATTAGAAATTGAGCACTGGAAGTGGAGAATGGGCACTGGTGGAAGGATGGGTACTCAACCATTGTATAATTGAAACCCAAGCACAAAAACTTGTAAATCTACAACTGTACCTCATGGTGTTTCACTAATAAAAAGAAATCCTCTAGACTTGAAAAAAAAGAACAAGCTTGGAAGTTAATTTTTAATAACAAATGTCATTTTTAATGCCATAAATCTCTAAAGTACTTGAAGTTTTTAATTTCTTTTATGCTCTCAGTAGCCTTGTAAATTTACCTGTTTGTTGCTACCTCACATTGAAATTGAAAAGAATAAATCAAGATTTCTTAGTTTCTTTTTCTCGCTGGAGAATCATAGTTGTTATATTTCCATTACAGTGATTTATATTAAAACTTCTCAATTTCCTGTCTTTTCACATACTTCCTCTTATGCTTCTATGTGACTTCCTGTTTCTGTTTCTTTTTTGTATTTCTCTTTATTGAAGTTTAATCTTACAAAATTATAGGCAAATTGAGAGCTCAAGACCCCTTTCATATATTAATTTTTGTTATAACAGGGCATACTATTTCCCTACAAAGCTTAACAAATGAATGCATACATAAAATAACCTGGAAAAGGCACATTCATTCATATTTATTACAAAACCAGAAGGAAGACTAATAACATCTGGCCCCATACTTCTAATTTACCAGATTTGGGGAATGTAATTATGAAGACATCATCATCTCTAATTTCAAAATCCTCTAGATTCTCTAGGAAGTCAATATCAATCATGGAACGTTCAAAATTATAGCCTTTAAAGTGAAGTAAATACTCATCGCTGTCCATAATTATTCACCTACAAGTGAAAAAGAGAGAAAATTATTTCAATTTCTTGGAATTCTATAATAATCTGTTGGCACTTACTGAGTGTTAAAGCTGTGGCAAGCTCCGTTTAAATGTCACATGTGTTTTAACTCATTTAGTATAAAATGCAGCATTATTCACAATAGCCAGAATCTGAAAACAACACAAGTTTACAACAACAGATGACTAGTTGTGGAAACTATGGTACATCTACACAATAGAATACTATGCAGTTGTTAAGACAAATGAAGTCATGATATTGGCTCATAAAAGGATGAACGTGGAGAGTATCATGCTGAATGAAATGAGTTAAAAGGAGAGAGTCAGATACAGAATGACTCACTCAATTGTGATATATATATACATATATGTAGATATATTAATAAACAACATAGTATGAGACTAATACCCAAACACAGTACCAAACTAATACCAAGGACAGTAGAAACAAGGGCCAGGAGTAATGGTCTAAGATTAAAAGCCTGCATCTAATGCTGCAGGAGAAGGCAATTGGGATAGAAAGGGACCACTATGACAATGATAGTTGAAATGATCACACTGGATAAGACCAGATGTGATAACCTCCCAGTACCTGTATGTGAACCAAAATACCCAAAAGGAAGGAAAGAGAGAAAGAAAAAAAAAAGTGCCTGCCATAGAGGCAGACTGGTGGGGAGGGACCATGGCGGGAGGGATCCTGGGGACATTGGTGGTGGGAAATGTACACTGGTGGAGGTATGGGTGCTGGAACATTGTATGTCTGAAACCACATCGGGAACAGCTTTGTAACTGTGTCTCGCATGGTGATTCAGTTAAAAAAAAAAACTGGCCATACGGGGCTGGAGCGATAGCACAGCGGGTAGGGCGTCTGCCTTGCACGCAGCCAACATGGCCTACCCGAGTTCGATTCCTTCGCCCCTCTCGGAGAGCCCGGCAAGCTACCGAGAGTATTCGATATGCCAGACACAGTAACAACAAAGTCACCAATGGAGACGTTACTGGGCCCGCTCGAGCAAATCGATGATCAACGGGAGGGCCTTTTTACATTGTCATTTAACATACATAGAAACTGTTTGATAGCAGTATTACTATTATTACTATGTGAAAGAGAAGGAAACTGGGATAATAGAAAACTAAAAAGACTTTCTTTCAAACTTCAAAAGAGAGAATTGCAGTTTTTGACACTCTGATGAGGAATTGAAGGTGAGAGCACTGTAGCACTGTCCTCCCATTGTCCATCAATTTGCTTGAGCGAGCACCAGTAACGTCTCCATTGTGAGACTTGTTACTGTTTTTGGCATATCGAATATGTCACTGTTAGTTTGCCAGGCTTTTGCCGTGCAGGTGCGATACTCTAGGTAGCTTACCAGGCTCTCTGAGAGGGATGTAAATATCGAAACGGAGTCAGCCCGTGTCGGCAGTGTGCAAGACAAATGCCTTGCCCACTGCGCTATCACTCCATCCCAAAGGTGAGAGTATCAGAAAATTAATCCCAATTGTCTTGGTGGTAGATGACAAATTTTGCTTACAATTTGGTCAGTATCCTTCAATAGGGCCTGAGCGATAGCATAGCTGGTTTGGTGTGTTTGCTTTGCACGCAGCGAACCCGGATTCGAATCCACCACTCCTCTTGGAGAGCCCAGCAAGCTACTAAGAGTATTCAGCCTATATGGAAAACCCTGGCAAGCTACCCGTGTTGTATTCGATATGCTAAAAACAGTAACAACAAGTCTCACAATGGAGACGTTCCTGGTGCCTGCTCGAGCAAATCAATGAACAATGGGAGGACAGTGCTACAGTGCTAAGTCCTCCAAAAACTTGACCATTTAGTTTCTTACTACTTTACATGTTTTTGCCACTTCCCCATAAAAAATAGAAAATTGTTTACTGGATTTTCTTCCTTCCTTTTCTTTCTTTTTCCCACCTGTCTTTTCTTCTTTTATTCTACCTTTCATTCCTTCTGTCTTTTCTTTTTGTTTTCTTTAAGGTCACACTGGCAATGCTCCGAGGTTACTCCTGGCTTTGCACTTAGAAATTACTCTTTCCTGGTGGTGCACGTTGGGTAGGTGTGGGGTGAGGGTTGTTTGGAATGCTGGGTTCAAACCTGTGTTCGTCATGTACAAGGCAAATGCCCTACATGCTGTACTGTCACTCCTTCCTTCCTTCCTTCCTTCCTTCCTTCCTTCCTCCCTCCCTCCCTCCCTCTTTCCCTCCCTCCCTCCTTCCTTCCTTCCTTCCTTCCTTCCTTCCTTCTTTCCTTCCTTCCTCTTTATTTCATAAATAATCTATCCCTGAAAGACACATCTTAGGCTTTGGGATATGATTCACTGTTCCAAATGAATTATGGGGCAAAATCTTCATGAGCAAAATTGTTTTACCCTGTAAAATTTACCCTCATATGGTTCCATGGCACTATATTTTTATTACTTTATTTGTTCATACCTAGAGTTAATTTAAATAAAGTAAAGTAAAGTAAAGGCCCTCCCGTTGATCATGGATTTGCTCGAGCGGGCCCAGTAACGTCTCCATTGGAGACTTTCTTGTTACTGTGTCTGGCATATCGAATACATCAAAGGGAGCTCGCCAGGCTCTGCCTTGCAGGTGAGATACTCTCGGTAGCTTGCCGGGCTCTCCGAGAGGGGCGGAGGAATCGAACTCGGGACGGCCATGTTGGCTGCGTGCAAGGCAAACGCCCTACCCACAAATAAAATAAAAACTGGGAGCAAAAAGCACAAAATAAATCTGCTCAAATTAGCATAAATACTTCCTTCTGTAGCACAGATACTAAAATTGGAATGCCAATGAGATTAGTATAATTCCTGTGTAAATATGGTACATTATTCTGAAGCATTCCATAATTTAACAAAAAATTGATTAGCTATGCCTGAGAAATCAGCTTTTTAATGTGAAATAGGTAAGAGAATCTCAGAAATTTGAATAATGTTAGGTTAGAAAATTAGAGATTTCAGAAAAGTACTTAAAAATTAAAACATACAAATGCCTTTAAAAATAATAACTCACTTGACTAAAGAGTTGATTAAAGAGTAAAGTTAGTTTAAAGTTTTGCAATATCAAAGTAAGCAATCACTTACGTGGAAATCACATGTATTTTTAAGTAAACATTTATTTTTCTAACTTATAAAAAGAAAAACAGGATTTAAGGATCTGGATGATATGACCTAGTAACACCATTTAATAATTCTAGTACTCACACAAAAAATATATGTTGGTTAAAGTGGATAAATTTATTTAGATAGATATTTTATCTCAACCTTCAGAGAATCCTTTTAGGGTTTTATTTAACTTCTAGTGAAGCATCTATTTAAGACCCAACTAACAACAAAAGATTCTCTCACTATTAGTTGAAGTGTAAGTAACTGTTTAGAATGGACTCAGTCATAATCACATGGTATCTGATACTCCACAATGCTAAACATGCTCCTCAAGTCATCAATTCTAGACACTGGAAGCAAAGATTAAAGAGCACCAGGTAGACCACATAATCCGAACATTACTTAAGAGTGCATTTTGATATTATGTTTTCTCTGTCATGTTTTTTCTCACAAGAGAACGCTGTAGTGTTTATAAAACAAGGCAAAAGAGATAAGGTAACAAGTAGAACCATGCAGTTCTTGGTAGTGATATGTCACATATTTCATGCATTTCTGATGATCATATGAGAAAGAAATTTACAGAGATAATGAATATCATGTGTCTCCTTACCACTGCTATTTGGACAGGTTGGGGGGAATAGGTAGGTGGGAGAAGGAAGCTCCAAGTGTTGCTCAGGAGGCCTGAGGTTACCGATGGTGATTCTCATCCAACCAGTACTCAGGGCTGCACAATATTCAAACTAGGTCAATAACATGCTAAGGCATCTACCCTAAACCAGACTACTATCTGCCAGTCCTCTTCTTATTCTTATTTTGAAATTCAAAGGTGAACAGGAAACAGAATGTTAAGGTGAAAGAAAATGCATTCTATTGTATTCTGATGAGAAAGACTTTAATGGCAGTATGTAAGTCTACCCTTTTATTACTCACTGTTTGCAGATCTGCAGAAGCAAAATCCACTTCGGTTACAACTTTAAGGTTATTAGGAATTGACATATTGCACAGATATAAATACTCAATGCAGAATTTTCTTGACCAATGAGAAGTGTTCGGAGCAGTCAGCAGGTAGCTCAGTTTGGATTAACATATTAAGTAACACATTGTGACATACATAGAAGCCTATTGATTTACTATTTCAGAAAAAAAAGTTCTCAAAACTTGTAATGAAGAGGAACTGTGGGTGAATGGTAGTCATATTACTTAACTTTGGCAACTAGAGGTGCATATTGACAAACTGTTCAAGCATAAGGAACTGCAGCAGCAACTGTTGGATGCCAAACTTCAGCATATGACACAGCTGATAAAAGACACTTATGAAAAGCATCAGCAAGAGAGTTTGTAAGTTGTGCTTCTTCCCAAGAGAAGTGAACAACAGGCAGACACCAGAGTCCTGGTCCTTGGGTTTTGCTCCTGAGTGAGACAGACTTTGTGTGTGTGTGTGTGTGTGTGTGTGTGTGTGTGTGTGTGTATGTGCTTTTTAACATCTCTCTTTCTTTTCACACAGAACACAAATTGGCGAGGTTGGATGGCTTTGGTAGTGAGATGCCAAATACAGTAACAAGTCTCACAATGGAGACATTAATGGGCCCGATGAACAATGGGAGAGCAGTACTACAGTGCAAGAAATAACAAATGAACTTGAAAATTAAAACAACTTCAGGGGCTGGAGTCATAGCACAGCAGGTAGGGAGTTTGCCTTGCACTCGGCCCACCCTGGCTCGACTCCCAGCATCCCATATGGTCCCCTGAGCACTGCTAGTGGTACTTCCTGAGTGTAGAGCCAGGAGTAACCCCTGTGCATCACCAGGTGCTACCCCCCAAAAAAAGAAAAATAAAAAAATAAAAACAACAACTTCCTTGTTCATGACGCTTGGTTACTAAAATATTTTGCACTTCTCTCTATTGCTGATTGTTTTCTACATTCAGGGTCACTCAGGATACCGTATCTGATAACAGGGATTGTGCCAGGTTAAGAGCAGACAATTCAAACTCCTTTCCCATTGTACTATCTCTCTGGCCTTCAACCAATTTGAAAGAGTTCTGCAAAATTGGCATTTTTCTCAGACCTTTCCTAAAATATCTATTGGGCTTCCCACTCATTTTTCATCATCTGCTTCCCACATAACCTGCTCTTTGATAACTGTTCTCAGGTTTCTACTTAGCACATAATTTTATCCCAGAGTATATATTTAATCCTTTCAATTCACAGTTCTTCAATACTGTTAAGAGGAATTAGTCAGATGATTATTTAAAGCTTATAAATTTTCTATCCATATCTTATTTCAGAGAGCATTTATGTATTAAGATTATAAATCTTTTGGGGGTAAGTGATATAACCTGAAATGAATAAATGCATGAGAGTGGATTATTAAAATAAAGAGTTTAGTTCATAATTTCTAATCTGAATATACATTTTAATGAAAATGAATGCTTAAGAAACCATTTGCATTTCAGACAATTTCCCCATTCTCTCTGACTAGATCTCTCTGTAATAACACTAGAGTGAAAAGGACAGTATACATCTGCTTTCTACAGTAGCATTACTTTCCTCATTTCTATAGCAAACAAAGATATGTTCGTTACTGTGAATGTTACTAACTTTTTGGTTCCATGTCATTTTCCAATGCTTAGAAAATTTTAGTTTTAAAAATTTTGAAATGGTGCCCTGTGTTTCTGCAATGGTCTGTTTGTCAACTGGGAGCGACAACCAGCCACTGAGCTGGAGTCACAACCAGCAGAGCTCAGGGAACCATTTAAAGTATGTGGAATCAATGCATCATCAACCATAATGAAGCACAACCATAAGCACTTTCGTCCCTGACCTGTCTCTCAAGCTCTGTACTGATCTGTTTAAAATATCTAAAGGTGAAATTGAAAAAAGAATTTGGAAATCCCTTAGTAATTATGCTACAATAGCTTCCTGTTCTTCTCACTTTGTATCAATTCATTGTATGTTTTGTTTTTTTTTTAATTTAAAGTCTCTTTTATTATTTAAATAATATAGAAATGGGTTTGTTTTTATTTTTCTTTGGGGCCTCAAGAAAGATATTTGAGAACACTTACCACATAAAATCATGCTGTATTATATTTTCTCCACTTTCCTTCTGCTGGGAGAATCTAGTAGCATTAAGTCAGAGAAATGAGCATAAATGAAGTCAAGAGCTTGTTGTTTAAACATTTCTCTAAGAACATTTCTCTAAAGAGTCAGGATAAATTGCTGACTACACAGTAGGGAAAGGGGGAGGAAAGCAAAAATGATCTTATAAAGTCTTTTCATATTCTAAAGTGAAAAAGTACTCAAAGGACACTGGAGATTACTCAAAATGCTTCCAGTGACAGCTTGAATTTGTGGTATCTAGCCAAGTCTGGAAGAATTTCCATTTTGACAAATAATAATGGCTTTCTTTGCTATATAGTGGTTTTTTTTTCAAATTTGATGTAAAATGTTATCCTGCCAGTTTATTTGGCATTTGTTGTCTGATTTTTAAAAATTTAAATTTAAAATTTTAAATTTAAAAGTTAAAAAAGTTCTATATCAAGGAACATGATTCCTGTGTTTTCTCCCAGGAGTTTCACAGCTTCACATCTTACATTCAGCCTTAAATTGACTATAAGTCACTTTTTGTTTGTAGTAATTAAATGATTCATTTTCACTCTTTTACATTTTTCTATCATATTTTCCAGTAGCCCTTATGAAAGAGACTCTTCTACTTGTTTGCATGTAATTAGCTAATATTTACAGCTTAATTGACCCATATTCATATGTTTACCTAAGATCTTTATTCCATCTTTCACTGAGTCTGTTGTTTTGGTTTTTAATTCTTCTGTTTTGGGGTCTCACCCAGTTGTGTTTATAATTTAGAAATCTAACTGTCTTTTTTGTTCATTTAGGGGCCATACCTGGCAGTGCTCATGATTACTTAGGGTCCTACACTCAGAGATCAGTTATGGTGGGCTCGAGGAACCATATGCAGTGCTGTGCTAGGATCCAACTCTGATCAAACTATGTACTGTACTACCACTCCAGCCCCTGATTCCTCTCTCTCTCTCCCCCCTCCCCCCCTCCCCGCTCTCTTTCTCTCTCTCTGTTTCTCTCTCTCATTTTTAAAGTAACATCTTTGATTTTGGCATTAAGGTATGTTGATCACTTGATCACTTGACTTCCGGTTAATCACTATTTGCTCGAGCAGGCGCCAGTAACATCTCCATTCATCCCTGTTGCGTGCTAATGTAGCCCAATGGCGTCTGTTCATTCTAGGAACACAAAGAGCCTCAAACCAATTATTCATGGTTTTGACGAAGAAGTCTGACCATCTTGTAGGTGGGCCGCCACAAGGTCGTTTGACGTCCTGTGTAATCCAGTCGGTAATGACACTAGTCCAATGGTCTTCTCCAAATCTCATTATGTGTCCAGCCCATCTGAAGGTCAGAGGGCCAGAGCAAGAGAAGATGGCGAAGGTATGTTAGCTTCCTGAAAACTGTTTTAAGTGACTGCTGTTTCTTAAATATTTTGAAAGCGCTTGAGAAGTACGAGTAATTCTTCTTTAAAGGTTACTTAGAGTTCATTAGTATACCCATCTGGACTAGATAGATATCAAGTTATATGCTGCCAGGAGTTTTAGAGCTTTGCATCTTACAGTCAGTATTTAATTGACTTTAAGTTACTTTTTGTTTGTGGTAACTAAATGGTTTATTTTCACTCTTTTGGGGTAGACGTTTTTAGTTCAAATTTCCTCATTTAAATTGGTCATTTGGGTTTTCCTCTTCATCTTGATTAAATCTTAGGCTATTTATGTTTCTAGGGTTTATCCATTTCCTCTAAGTTTTTCAGATTAGCATACAGTAGTTCATAAGGAATTATGACATCTTGAGTTTGTGAGATATTTATTATAATTTTTCCCTTACATCCTGATCCATTTTTTTTGTTTTCTCTCTTTTGCATGTCTAGTCAAAGATTTGTCAATCTTATTTATTATTTTGAAAATCCAGTTTCTGCTTCCTTTGATGCTTTGTATTATTTCCTTTTTTAAAAGTTTAATCAGCTTAAGGACAGTATTGTACATGGATATAACATTCCAACCCCATGCTCTCCATCAGACTGACTGCTTCCCTCTACTGTTGTTTCAGCCCTCCCAGCCCCAACACCAACATCTCTCCACCATAGTAAGCTCAGTTTTGTAGATCAATTTTCAGTTTCTATTGTCATTGACTATTTATTTTTCCCTTAAAATGATTCTTTATATCCCTCATCAAAACCATCCTGTTATTCGTCGATTGCCTCGAGCAGGCCCCAGTAAAGTCTCCTTCATCCTAGCCCTGAGATTTTTAAGAAAGTGCTATATTCAAAGCTCTTTAGGAGAATGAGAACCATCATTGTTACTAGTATTTGGCATATTGGGTATGTCACGGGGAGTTTGCCAGACTTTGCCGTGTGGGCAGGTTACATTCGGTAGCCTGCCAGTTTGTCTAAAGTAGGAATGAGATAATAAGATGTCATAATAAGATGTCTTGTGGCCGCGAATGCATGGATCAGGGCTGAGCATCCTTCATATTAGTGAGATTATTTTATTAGTCTTATCTCTTCTAATGGCTGACTTAGCTCAGCATGCTAACCTACAATAATATCCATGTATTGAAACATTACATGATTTAAGCCCCAGCAATTGCTCCCACATCCCAAAGCCACTGCCATGCCTCCAGTCAGAAGTTTTCACCTTAAGAATGAGCCTCACAGAGAACTTAATGTGTAAATAAATTCAAGTACATGGGTCCATGTAGATGAACACTTCAGACTTTCTCAGATTCAGGATTAGTGAACTCCCCTACCTCCCCATACTTCTAGAAGAACTGGCAGTTACACCCATGTCCCATCACCAATGTCACGTAAGCTGATCTACCAGCCTTGTTCCAAAGACACATAAATATAGCTTGAAGGAGATCAACTACCTTCAAAATTTCTCAGACACCATTCCCAGCTGAGACCACTCGGACATTCTTGGAGTAGGTCGAACCAGCTCCCACACC